ATCATGGGGCCTTTTTAATATTGTGTACATGCACAGTTTCCATTGCTGTGTTTGCTTTTTATTTCATATTTCATTTTTCATTTCTCAAAATCAGCATTTTAAATTATATAGAAGTATATAATCTGCAGCATTAGTTCACCAAAAGTTTATTGCTATGGATTGATGCTGCCATCGGATTAAGTAAATTAATGTGATTGTCTCTGTCTCTACTTGACCTGTTGCCTTGCAGAGCAAAGTTGTAAATTTGGTCCTTTATCCAAAATATATTATGATGAAATTGATTAAACATTTCAAATGGTTTTAGTTTTGCAAAAAAAAAGAAAAGCACAAAAATAAGTTGGTAGTATTTTGTAATTTTCTACCTATGTTTTGTACCATTGTTTCTCCTTTTTAAAATGAATGGATGGGCATAGTGAGAGCTGTTGGGTTTGGAGACAGCCATGTGTGCAGGTTCACCTTTTTGGATATGTTAATTAGCATTACATAAGGCCCAAAAGTTTGATTCTTATACTGGAAGATTATCCCCATCTGACTTCAGTACAGCCAACCTGCAAATTTAGCTTCCCACCAAACTTGCTACTTTTCATGCAACGTAAAAAGAATGGGAATGTGCAAATGATTTTTGACATTTGTTTATTTGGACCTCTCCATAATTTAAACTGTATGGTACAGCAGAGGCCACTGGGTCACTGAAAAGTATGTGGATTTTGTGAGATTTCTTGTGACTCCTTCCATATGTTTTAGTTCTCTGTTCTTCCATTCTAATATATGTTTGCAGTACACGAGGTCTGTGACACTTCAGTCTTAAAATTTTTTATTCAGGGCATATATTTATAATGAATTTGAAGCTGAATGAATAATGTATTTGACTTGTACAAAGTAATTATTCTATACACCTGTATTATGGTATTTGGAAATCACTGGAAAGGCCACCATTTTTACCCATCCCTAATTGCTCTTGAACTGGCTGACTTATTAGGCCATTTCAAAGGGCAGTTAAAAGGGTACAGTTGATCGATTTTCTTTGCTAAAGGACATTAGTGAATCAGATTTTTTTCATGACAATTGATGGTCGCAATTGAACTAATTTAATTTTAACTAATTGAATTTAAATTTCACCAGCTGTCACAGTAGGATCTGAACCTGTTTCCTAGAGCAATTAGCCTTGGCCTCTGCTTTACAAGTACAGCGACATAGCCACTATGCCGTATCTTCCGGTTAGTTAAACCTGAATTATTTCAGGGGATTTTTTTCTAGCCAAATGGTAAAACAATGGGTGCTTTATTGCAATTGTTTTCTTTTCTTTTTAGCTTCTTTTCTTTTAGGAATCTCAGGCCTGAAACTGTCTGGTGCTTTCATTCCCAGCCACGGGCTTGGGGAGTTCCACAGTTTCTCCAGTGTTAACTCTATGACTAGAAGGATTGCTTGAGTGCTGACTAGGGTTAATTCTCTTCTTCCCCTTATTTTATTCAAATTATTTATTTGTTCAGTGCTACACTGGAGGATGAGATAGCACAGGCATCCTTTCTTTTGGGCATTTTAGGAATGAGAAGGTGAAAATAGAGGGTAGTCTTGTTACATTAATGCTGAGATTAATTATATTCTTACAATTTTGATCCTACCTCCAATTCTATAACATTGGCTGCATGTGCAATCACTCAATCTCCTTGCTTATGGCCATATTTTCTACAAATAATATGGAGTTACTTCTGACATTTGGATGCTGCATGTGAAAATTTGTTTTCACTAATATATAAATTAGGAAAAGGACATTCACCTAGTCTGACAAACTAACTTCAAATGTTTGACCTTGGAAAACCATCTTACCTTGATGAAGTTGACACTGGAGCTAATTTTGGCATGAATTGAGTACTTTTACTCAGGAAGCAGAATTACCCTACAACTATTTTTTTGTTTGTTTGCATTGAGTCTGGTGCTGTACTGTAAAGGACCAGTGCCTATTCTACATCCCATCACGCTCTCTTCTCCCATTGTCAGCTTGAAAATGCACATCTTAAAAAAAAAAAAGTATCTATACAGGATGTAACGTATTTCTTAATACACCATATTTCAATATTGTGAAAAAAATTTTCATACATTAGCAACCAGTTGGGGAGAGGGAAGGTGATTTTTGCTGTTTAACAATGGACCCAAGAGATGTTGAGGACCTTGCTTTTTACAAAAATTCAATTATGTCTCCAAATGGCGATGTTTGCCGATCATGCATGTACACCTCAAACTTGTACCTGATTTGGTAACCCTCAAATGTCAGAATGGAACAGATGTTACAAGTGAATCTCTGTTTCCCTGCTCCAGGAGTTTGGCTTTGGGATAGTTGCTGTTCCTTGTCTCCCCTTCCTGGAAAATTGGGTTTGGAATTCCCGAGTGCCCCTCTATAATATAAAGAATCCTGGTAGATCTGAATTTTGTGGTTTCCAACAGATTTGGAATCTGTCTCGTGCTGCTTCAGACAAGTCATATTTTTATGCAAACAATTTTTAACAATTAAATTCTTTTCTAAATTTCTGTAAAGAAAAAAAAAGGATTTTTGTGAATGTGCCTTTGCATTATGTATGCTGTATCTAAAGAGCCTATTAAAATATTGCATAAGTACTGGTGGTCTTCTAATCTCACTGACTTGTTGAGTGAAGATTTTGGAAATATGGAAGGACAGCAAAAGCCTGGCAATTTGTAAAAAAAAAAAAAAAAAAAAGGATTTTTTAAAATTGCCTTTTAAACCAAGATAGAGGGAAAGACTTTCTGTCATCACTGTAGATAGCTGTCACTCAGAAATTCAAAACCTAATATTTTAGGTGGATTTAAATTCCTTGGAGAAGGCACTTTTGAGATCATCTTCCACTGAGGGAGAAAAAGAAACTTGTATTTCTGGATGTTTTTTGTCAACAGATAAATGCAGCTGATGCTAATTGCAGCTGTTATCCGAGTCAACTGTTTATAGCACAGCAAATGAGCAGTTAATGTTTTAAATGACAGATTTGCTTAAAAGTGAATTCTTAAAGCATAATCATAGAATCCCTACAGTGTGTAAGGAGCTATTCGGTCCATCAGGTCGGCAGCAACCTTCCTAGAGCATCCCATTCTGACTACATTTCCCATCGCTAACCCACCTAGCCTATCCAAACGCCACAGACAATTTCAGCAAGGCCAACCACCTAAGCTGCACATCTTTGGACTGTGGGAGGGAACCGGAGCAAACCCATGCAGACACGGAGAATGTGCAAACTTCACACAGATAGTCACCAAGGCTGGAATCAAATCCAGGTCCCTGGCACTGAGGCAGTAGCACTAATCACTGAGCCACCATGCTGCTCAAACTATTTTTTAAAGGATTTGAACATTCAGCTCAAATCTACTCAACCCTGTTCAAAATTCTATGTGTACAGCTCTGGTTGGAAACATTCTGTCCTGAGACTCAAGGCTGTATAACATTACTAGATTTGATTTGATTGGTGAAATTGATCAATTCAATTAAGACCATAATAATAGGAACAGTAGTAGGTCATTTGGCCTCTCGAGCCTGTTCCTTCATTAAATAGGAAAATGGCTAATCCAACATTCCTCCCATCCATTTTCCTGCCTTTTCCCCATAACCCTTGATTCCCCTATTGATCAAGAATCTATCACAGATTTAAATATACACAAGAACTCTGTGCCCGCAGCTCTCTCGCAAGGAGTTCCAAGGCTCTGAGAGAAGAAATTCCTTCTTATCTAAGTCTTAAAGTGGCACCCCTTTTATGGTTGACCTTGTCTATGTTTTCCACTTTGGGTTTGAAAATGTATGTTCATGAGATGAGACTGGTAAGTGACCTCCTCCCTCATTGTTGGAAGTCTGCTAGAACTGCATCAGGGATTTGTTCACATTTCTCTCCTCTCTCCTCACATCTTTCTCCTCCACTGGCTTCAGACCCAAGTGTTTTTGTTGCCCGTAGTTTGTTAGAATATTGTTCGTTTAGGGTTGGGTGTTTCCATAAGGGCTTAGTTGTTGACTAGACAAGAACTTTATTTTAAATGATCAATCGAGTGGTGGCAAAGCACTGGCATATAAAGAATTTCCCTGCAATGCTAATGTGTCTACAGTGTATAAGCAGTCTTCCCCTCGTTTTAAAAAGTGATCTAAAAATCTGGAATGTCAGGGACAGGCCATACTAAAACACCAATAGATGAAAGCTGTACCCAGCCAAACTGAATTTTGTGAAAACTTTTCAAAAAATAACTTCAATATGTGTAAGTATCAAAAGTCAATTGGAGAGAATGTATCTACAAATGGAAAACATCGTGCACCCAACCAGTAACCTGACTTTTGTTCTGCTTAACCCAAGAGGCAGCCATTCGGCCCATAGTAGTTTCACTGTCGGTTTGCAAAGCCCGTTCACTCGTTTCCCCCACTCCACCACCCTTTCTGTAACCCTGCAAAATGCCTAATTGATGTTGTAAGTGGCGAGTGTTGACGTTTTGTACTTGATATCTATGTTTTCCCTCTGACACTACTTTGGATTGTAGTTACTGACGTTCGACCAATGCTTGCTACCTGTTCAGCTGCTCAGTGAAAATGTGCCAGTTGGCAGCTGCCTCAATCCTGCTCTATTCACAGCTGCACCCTTGTCTGAAGTGCCCTCAATGTAAACTGGGGACCTATTTTTAACTTATCTTCCGATCGCTCCTATTTTAGAAGAGAATGTATTTAGTGAGTGAATGAGTGTGCTGACAGCTGGCTGTTGTCTCAGACAAAAACAAACCATTCAGCTCTGAAAGATCTCTTGGCGTGTTGCATCGGATGGACAGCTAGCTCCTCGATGCGTTCTTTCCATTTTGTTAGAGCTGTAAACGCGGGCAGAAGGTGAAGGATGCTTCTACTGGTTGCTGGCTACTAGATAACTTTACCCCGATACTTTAATCCAGGTCAGTGATTTTGAGTTTACAAATGGACTTTGCAAGATGAAGCGTTTCCAAACAGAACAGTAGACAATATTCATCCCAACTTTGTTTACACGCGTGTTTTATAATTTGGTAAATGCTTGAGATTCAGTGGCAGATGCTATTTTAGTAACACAAAGATCCAATTGCTGCTACAGGATGGGCAAATAAATCGAGGCATGTTCAGGAGGTTTGGCAGTATCTGTGAAGAGAAATCAGAGTTAACGTTTCTGTTCAAGTGAGCCTTCCTCCGATCTCAGTAAAAGATTAAATTCAGTTCCGAAATCATTGAACCGAAACGCTAAACTCTGTTTCTGTTTTCACTAAAGCGGTCAGACCTGCAGAGTTTCCCGAGCAGCTTCCAGCTTATATTTCCCATCTCCAGCATCCGCTGTATTTAGCAATTATTAAATTCCTTCTCCGTGTTGTTACCCAGTGACGATGTCTGGGGTCTACGGGTGGTGTCCCAAAGAGAGCAAATACTTAAAAACCGTCGGCATTTATAAATAATATAAAAACCGTGCAGCGTTAGCTCCCGCTGTTAATCACGGCATTTGTGTTGTGTCAGGCTGGGATCTGACTGTGGTCAGAGTAAGCTCCTGTGAAAATCACCTGATACTTGCATTTATGTAGCTCCTTGAGAAACTGGCCCTTCTGCGCCCACGTGTCACTAACAACAAAGTGCTCAAAGTAACAGCGAAGATAGGAGCAGGAGGAGGCTATTCGGCCTTTCGAGCCTGCTGCGCCATTCTTCATGATTATGGCTGATCGTCCAACTCTAGTCTCATCCTGCTTTCTCGCCATTACCTTTGATCCCACTCGCCCCAACTGCAATATCCAGCCGCCTGTTGAATACATTCAATGTTTTAGCGTCAACTACTTTCGGTGGTAATGAATTCGACAGGCTCACCACTCTTTGGGCGAAGAAATGTCTCCTCATCTCTGTCCTAAATGGTCTACCCCGAATCCTCAGACTGTGACCCCTTGTTCTGGACACACCCACCATCCGGAACATCCTCCCTGCATCTGCCAGCAAGGCATCATTGAAACTGCACTCCTGGATAAATCAACAGGGGAAGAGAAAATGTTCAATGACTTTAAGCCTTGCACTTCAGTCACCTAGTGTGAAAATATGCAAAAAGATACGAATGACCCAGTAGTTAAGCATAGCTGAACATCTGATTCGCTATTACGTTAGGAAAGTCTTCTGATAGATTCTGCTTATGTCATCTTTTACCTCAATAAAGGAATTTCTTTTGGCAGGTTTTATTCCTGCCTTTTCCTATATGCTCACTGTCATTTTCTGTCGAATTAATTTGTGAGATGCTTCGATATATTTCTCCACACTTGAATCATGCGGTTTTATGACGTTTTTGATCGCAGACATTTAGTTTAACTTTTCCACTAATGGGTTTTATTTTCTTCAATTTCCCACGTTCGGTTTCTACTTTATTTTGTATAGTCTCAAGGGAGTCCTAGATGCCGGTAGCATTATAAAAAAAAGACAGAATTTTAAGGAACAAAATGAGCTGCGGAAGCTGGAGATCTGAAATAAACAGAAAATAGTAATTGCTGGAGAAACTCAGCAGGTCTGGCAGCATCTGTGGAGAGAAAAACCGCTCATGTTTAGTGTCCAGTGACCCTTCTTCAGCTTTAACGCTGTCTTCTCTGCACACCCACTGCCAGAACTGTTGAGTTTCTCCAACTTTCTCTTGTTGTTAGTTACAACTCTGCAGGAAATGGATGAACTGATTCGAGGCAGGTAGATGTGGCAGGACAGTTACATTTGTCTCTGCTCGCGAAATTCATTACAGTGTCCGGGACCAGTGAGTTATTGCCATACACTGAAGTTACAGATGCGGGTTAGGAAATTTCGCTGCCGCTATTAGCACACGGAGATGACCTCCTGGGCGGCTTCCTCTAAGGCAACAGCAGCAACAGTTCTATCTCACTTGTTACAGTATGGTGTGATAGATATCCCAATGCCATGCAGGTAAACGACGAATCTTCCCATTTAGAATATTTCGTGTTGTGTGGGCCACCTTGTTCCAGCTGCCTGAGCTTTCCCATGCAGATTTGCATCAATTTATATTGCCGTCATTGTGCACGGTAGAAAAATGTGTTTAATGCTCTCGATGCGTTTAAAGAGAGGTGGGCACCCCAGGGTTAGTGTTTTAATTCTCTCTCCAACTCCATTTTGATTAAGTCCCCTTCTCTCTCCCTACTCCCCCCACTCTTCACTTTTTGATTATCATTGTCATTGTCTGTAACAGGCTTTGCTTGTGAATATTCAGTTTTCGTAAATATTTATAAATATTCGGTTGTTTTCCCGGTGGTCGAAGAAAAACTTATAAATGATAATAAACGCAGTCCGCAAAGGTGTCATTTTCTGTCTCATTACACAAAAAAAAGCAGGGGATCTGGAGAAAAAAGAAAAATCAGCTGGGGTCTCTTATAAGAGCTAAAAAAAATCCAGGAAACTTGTTTTTTTAAGAAAAATTAGAAGACTGTGTTTGGTGATGCAGGAGTTGAGGGATTTGTTGGGGGACAACGCGGAGATAACTTTGATAGAGATAGTAAGAACTGCCGACGCTGGAGTCAGAGATAACACAGTGTAGAGCTGGATGAACACAGCAGGCCAGGCAGCATCAGTGGAGCAGGAAAGCTGACGTTTCGGGTGCGGAGATAACTTTACTCTGTCTCTGATCCGAGACCTTTTGTTGCTAAAGCACCAAGATATAAAATGTTGCCAAACAAAAATAAAATGTTGCCACTCCATGCCGCTCTACAGCTCTCCCTGTGACAAATGGCTAAAATGGGATTTGTTTTAAAAATCAGCGGTTGAATAAGATAATGTTAGATGCTTAGTTCTAATTAGTCTCAGCACGTGGAGCACTTTTAGATCGCAAACACAGAAGTCTTTCTGGATATTAGTAGAAATCTCAGAAATAGATACATCAAGACCATATGAAAAATCGCCAAGTTAGTGATTATGGGTCCTGTTAACAGTTCTTCTTATAGTCATTCATGGGATGTTGGCGTTGCTGGCTGAACCAGTATTTGTTGCCCATCCCTAGTTGCCCTTGAGAAGGTGGTGATAAGCTGCCTTCTTGAACTGCTGCAGTCCACCTGCTGTACGTTGACCACAAAGTCGTTAAGGAGGTAATTGCAGGATTTTGACCCAGTGACAGTGAAGGAACGGTGATATATTTCCAAGTCAGGGTGACGAATGGCTTGGAGGGGAACTTACAGATGGTGGCATTCCTGTGTATCTGCTGCCCTTGTCCTTCTGGATGGAAGTGGTCATGAGTTTGGAAGGTGCTTCCTAAGAAACCTCAGTGAACCACTGCATCTTGTAGATAGTATGCACTGCTGCTGCTGAGCATTGCTGGTGGAGGGAGTGGATGTTTGTGGAAATGGTGCCAATCAAATCGGCTGCTTTGTCCTGGATGGTGTCAAGCTGTTCGAATATTGTTGGAGCTGCACCCATTCAGGCAAGTGGGGAATATTCCAAAATATTCATGATCCATACCTTGTAGATAGTGGGTAGGCTTTCGGGATTCAGGAGGTGAGTTACTTGCTGCAGGATTCCTGGCCTCTGACCTGTGCTTATACTCACTGCACTTACATGGCTGATCCAATTCAATTTCTGGCCAATGGTAACCCCTAGGATATTGATAGTGGGGATTCAGTGATAATAACACATTTGAATGTCATAGGGCAGTAGGTAGATTGTCTTTTATTGGAGATGGGCATTGCCTGGCATTTCTGTAGTACGAATACTACTTGCCACTTGTCAGATCAAACCTAAATATCATCCTGGAATTGCTTCATTTGGATGCAGACTGCTTCAGTATCTGAAGACTTGTGAATGTGCTGAACATTGTGCGGTCATCAAAGAACATCCCCACTTCTGACCTTATGATGGAGGGAAGGTCATTGATGAAGCAACCGAAGATGGTTAGGCCTAGGACACTACCCTGAGGAACTCCTGCAGAGATGCCCTACAGCTGAGATGACTGACCTCCAACAACCACAATCATCATCCTTTCTGCCAACTATGACTCCAACCAGAGAAGAGTTTTGCCCCAATTCCAGTTGACTCTATTTTTGCTAATGTCCTCAATTCCACACTCAGTCAAATGTGGTCTTGATGTCAAGGGCAGTCACTCTCACCACACTGCAGCAATTTAGTTTTTTTGTTCATGATTGAGCCAAGGCTCTAATTAGGTTAGAGCTGAGTGGCCCTGGTGAACCCAAACTGGGCATCACTGAGCAGGTTATTGCTGAGCAAATGCTGCTTGATAGCACTGTGGATGACACCTTTCATCACTTTACTGATCATCAAGAGTCTACTGATGGCTTGAGTTGGATTTGTCTTGCTTTCTGTACACAGGGCACAGAGTTTGGTAGATGCCAGTGTTATAGCTGTACTGGAATAGCTAAGCTAGGGGTGTGGTAAGTTCTGAAGCACCTTCTTCAGTACCATTGTTGGAATGTTGTCAGAAGCAATGTAATAAATTCAGAAGGCGGAATGTTCGCTGATAATTGCACAATGTTCATCACCATTCATGACTCCTCCGACTTCTACTGAAGCAGTTCATGTTGAAATGCAACAAGATCTGGACAATATCCAGGCTTGGGCTGAAAAGTGACAAGTAACATTTACATCACATAAATGCCAGGCAATAATCATTTCTATTAGAGAGCAATCTAACCACTGCCCCTTGACATTCAATGGTGCTATCATCACTGAATCCCCCACTATCAACATCCTGGGGGTTACCATTGACCATAAACTCAACTAGACCTGCCGAATAAACACAGTGGTTATAAGAACAGGTCAGAGGCTAGGAAAACGGCAGCATGTACTCACCTCCTGATGCCCTGAGGCCTGTTCAGCATCTACAAGGCCCAAGTCAGGAGTATGATGGAACAGTCCCCACTTGCCTGGATGGGTGCAGCTCCAAAAACACTCAAAAAGCTTGACACCATCTAGGATAAAGCAGACCGCTTGATTGACAGCACATCCACAAACATCTACTCCCTCCACCACCGATGCTCAGTATCAGCAGTGTGCTATTTACAAGATGCTCTGCAGAAATTCACCAAAGATCTTTAGATAGCACCATCCAAAGCCACATACTTACATTTAGAAGGACAAGGGCAGCAGACACACCACCACCTGCAAGTTTCCCTCCAAGCCATTTCCCCTGTTGTCTTGGAAACACATCGCTGTCCTTCACTGTTGCTGGAATTGCCTCCCTAATGGCATTGTGGGTCTACCTAGAGCACGTGGACTGCAACGGTTTAAGAAGGCGGCTCACCACTATCTTCTCAATGGTAACTAGGAATGGGAAATAAATGCTGGCCAGTCAGTGGTATCCATGTCCCACAAGTGAATTTAGAAGAAAGTCCATAGTCTTTGAAGTATCTAGTGCCTTCAATCATTTCTTGATACCACGTAGATTGGGTTGAATTGGCTGAAGACTGATATCTGTGACACTCAGGACCACTGGAGGAGGCCAAGATGGATCATCCACTCAGCACTTCTGACTAGAGATTGTTGTAATTGCTTCAGCCTTATCTTTTGCATTGATTTGCTGGACTTTCACATCCCAGCGGTGGGGATATTTATGGAGCTGCCTCCTCCAATGAATTGTTTAATTGTCCATCACCATTTATGACTGGATGTGGCAGGACTGCAGCTCTTAGATCTGAACTTTTGGTTATGGATCATTTGGTTCTGTCTATCATTTGCTGCTTATTCTGTTTGACATGCAAGTAGTCCTGTTTTGTAGCTAACACCTCATTTTCGGGTATGTCTGCTACAGGTTATAGCACACCCTCTTGCACTCTTTATTGAAGCAGGATTGATTCCCCTGACTTGATGGTAGTAGTGGAATGGGGGTTATACAGGTTTCAGATTGTGTTGGAGTACCATTCTGCTGCTGCTGTTGGCCCATGAGGCCTCATGGATGACCAGTCTTGCTAGATCTGTTCCAAGTCTGTCCCATTTAGCATAGTGATAGTGCTACACAAGATGATGTAAGCTATTCTCAAAGTGAAAGTGGGACTTGGGAACCTTTTGTTCCTGAAAGT